GCAGAGTATAGGGTCATGAAAATGGCAACATGTGAACTTATTTAGTTAAAATAGTTGCTCAAGGAACTTCAAATTGAAGAAGCAAGACGAATGTCACTTATTTGTGATAATCAAGTTGCATTGCACATTGCTTCAAATCTAGTCTTCCATGAGAGGACCAAACATATTGAGATAGACTGTCACTTTGTCGGAGAGAAGATCGAGTCAGACGACATCATCACAAGCTTTGTCAACTCTAATGATCAATTCGCAAATGTGTTTACAAAATCCCTACGAAGCCCTAGAACTAATTATATATGTAACAAACTTGGTGTGTTTGACTTATATGCTCAAGTTTGAGGGGGAGTGTTGATATTTGTAAATATATATAGTGTTAAGAATATTTGTATATAGAATAGTCTCGCATCGACTATATCATGTAATTAGTTGTAATCTATCTATATATAATAATGTCTCCGTAGTGCTTTTCAAAACACGCGGTTTATTCAAATGTCTCTTAGTCTCGAGGCTCTTGATACCATGTTAAGAAATGTGGTTGGGCATAACTCAACCCTATAAAATCGGTTGGTAAAGTGAGGATTGTCTTTACTCATAAACACATGTTCAAACCATATATTGTCCGATGTGGGACTCTTAACACCTATTATGCCAAAATTTAATCCAAAGATGCATCTCTGCATGCACTAAAGGTACGTCCAAAGATGTATCTACGTACACACCATTTATTCAAAAGTTAATGGATGGTCCGGAGATAAATCTTTGAACGATTTTGCTTTATATGCTTGCGTCAGACCTTTCATCTTCCTCCTTTTTCCATTTCTAAAAACTTCTCAAAACAAAACATTTTAGCTTTCACACATTCAAGCATCTCACCCATTCATTCAAGTTTCTAAAGTTATAGCTCTTTCTCCTTATTTCCATAATCACATAGATTCAAGCTTCTCCGTCTCCTTCTCATCAATCTAAATTTGTAAGTTTTTCAAAAAAAAATTATCTTTTTATGTTTTGGTTTGTAGTTAGTTGTTTAAGATACATTAATTGGTAGCCAACAAGAACATACATTGATAGTTCTTGGAGGGTTAGGACAACAATGGCGTTTCTGCCATGGCTAAGAATTGCAGGTTTGTCGAGAGATGCATCTCCAGATTTTCCCAGTGCTATTTTTGGAGATACATCTTCAAATTTGATTTAGGCTAAAATTTAGTTGATTTTATGGATTTTGTGGATTTGCACTGACATGCTATTTATCAATGTGTCGGTTTGTAACATAGATGTATTGGCTGATGACAATTCCAAAAACAACCATAGCATAATTAGTTTGGGACGTGTATCCCAAACCGCGTCAGTACGACGTGAGAAGGCCGTAGCTAGGACGGAGAGGCCACGGGTTAATGATAACTCGTTTGATGACTCGCAATCATCAACTTCGCAGTGCCTAGGTTCTACTTCTCATAGCCACCTCTCTCAAGGGTCCACTTCACAAGGCCACGAGTTACTAGATTATGTAGCAGACCCTGAGGCCTCTAAAGGCCAGGGGAAGTCGCTGGTCCATTAGAAAGTTATTCTGGAAATTCATTTGACACCTCATTACTTTATCTCTATGCAGATCATGCTGCTAGGCATATTTAGGAAGGAAATGTATATTTCTTTTGAAATATATATTTTTTCAACTAATTAAATCAAAACTAATGGTAATATTTTATTTTTATATGAGAATGTGTGTTTGAAATCGGTAAACCATGGGCAGAAGATATTGAAGATGGTGTAGTCCACTGCTAATTAGTTTTAGGATGTTCTCCGTTATTCGAGTCTTGTCAGTTTATGTTGTGTTGCGTACATGATCATATTTGGCAGCATGCAGGTCGCTTTTGCTAAGATGAGGCATTTAGAGACTTCTTCTTTCCACCTTCCTATAGGCGAGATGATCATCACCTTGGATGGTGTGTCATACCTCATGCACCTTCCCATAAAGGGAAAATTATTGGGCCACAGGAGGATATCTCGAGAGGAAAGTGACGACATAATGGTCACCTATATGGAAATAGACCCAGTTGAGGCCTCACAGGAGGCACATGACATAAGAGGTGTTCGTGCTAGGTTTAGTTTTTTTAAAAAAGCTTTATAAAAACCATTTGCAGAAGCTTGTGGACGCTGAAGGCGATGATGTGCAGGTTGGGTACCATTGAACTTGCGCATTGAGGTGTTACATCTTGTTGGTTGGCACGTACACTTTCATAGACAAAAGTGAAATCAGTGTCGATGTAGTCTACCTTCAGTATTTCGTCGACCTTACTGTGATTTGCAAGTACAACTTAAGGGTCACTTGTTTGGTCTACCTGTACTCAAAGCTGGCCACGGATTATCTTTGGAAGACAAAGCGGATAACAGGGAGTTCCATGATGCTTACAGTAATTTACTATTACTAATATTTTCATAATTCATTTGTTACACTTGTTATTAATATTGTATTTGAACCATTTTCAGAGATGGATCGTCTCCCATTTCCCTTGCATCACCAAGTTTGAAGTTGCACCTACTTACACAGAGGAATGGTTGCGTGCTACCACACTTATTTTGTACATGGGAAATAATGCAGTCGAACCATTCAGAGTGCATCTTGATCGTCTTGTGACAAATGATATTTATTTCTGCCCGTACGTAGTTCACCGCGAGATGCATTCATTTGATGTCATTTGTTATACTTCAGATGGTTAGTATGTGGCTATCTGCGAATTATTCTAAGACATCCCTTAGAGTTCACTCCTCCCACCGTTCGCCGCAGATATCTTGATGTGATACTTAACGATTTTGAGAGTCACCTAGTACCATAAGAGTATCGCAGGGTATTAGCTCATGTATATTGGGTCTATGCAAAGGGTTACATGACCTGCTTCAATAGGGTGTCACATTTTTTATGATACTAAAAGGTCCTGGAAGACCACCTAGTCCAACTAACTAAGAGGTACTTGAGACTCAAGGTGACCAGACTAAAAGCGTGACAGCGGTCTGTCAAAGTGTTGTTGAGGTGGGTAGAGCAGGCTTAAGGGCATGACTCTTTGAGTATGGTAGTGCCTAGTTAATCCTTGTGGAGAACATGGTTTTTGAATTGCAAAATTTTATACAGGTGATACCTAATAGGAGGGAGAAGGCAGAGGATTTGACATACCTTATAATTTATGTTTGGATGTATTCTTATTTTGTATTTTCGAACAAATATATTATGTATGATGTTACATTTTTATAATTATTGTATTACTTTTTACACTCATTTAGTTTTAGTTAAACTTGATTTTATTACAATTTTACTTTAATTTTACGATAATATAACTTAACCTCAAAAAATTATAATGTTAGGACAATTATATTGTTCTAAAACCATTTGGCAGGCAAAAATTATACTGCTAGGACAATTATGTTGTTCTAAAACCATTCAGAGGTTTCTGGAAATGCATTCCAGATACACATAAATGTTATACAGGGATGCATTTCCATGCCATATTTTGATCAAAATGGGTTGGATTTATGCATTTCTAAATACTATAACTTATTTTTGCAAATTTGATTTTTGCTAATATGTTTGTTTAAACTTTTATGCTTAAAAAATAGCACTCATAAAGTAAAGAATTTATTAAAAAAAGATTGGAACATTTTTTTAATAAAGAATATGACACGTTTATAATATTAATATGCAACATTCCAACTTTTAATAGAAAAAAGTATGTACTGTGCACCTCAACTGATAAGGAACATTACTATAGTAAACCTACTTTTCTAGTGGTAGCTGTAACTTTAGAGCATCTTTGGCAATCTAACAACAAAATACAAAACATACTTCATGGCAACAATGTGTCCTTTAAATTTTACAGATAATCCTAACAAATTATTGTGCCAAAACACGTTAGAAGTGCACTCATATCACATTATACCCAGAAATCATGTAAATGAAATTTTCGCAAAAGATGGGGCAAAGTTTTGTTTGCCATAAATATCGGCATTTCAGAACTAGGGCAATAAATTAAGGTACCCTACAAGTTATCTCCTTTATAGCAATGCATTCATGAGGATAATCAATATCGATGTTGTGAAGATATTTTCATGCAATGATGGAAATCTCACCCTGTGTATTTCAGTTCATTTTCTAAATATCAATATCGAGTGGGTTATTGAAAATACAAAAGAACCTAAATTGTGAAGACTATCGTTGAAGTAATTGGAGATACTAATTCCCTATGTTCATCAGCCGCACAATGCTACATGTACTGAGCCGGTGGAATAATAAGAAAAATTTCAGTTAATAAATAGATTAGGGACGGGGTAAATGAAAGAGGCATATCAGTAAGGCCTTATCATATTTTTCTATAAAATAAAAATGGCATAATACAAAATAGATCATTGCAAGGAACCCCACATTGGAGATACCTGAGAAAAAGACAATGGTATGATCTACCACTACTTATACAACAATAACTTATCAACGAGATGCTTCTTTCAACTTTTTTTCTTTCCGTGTCACTGGATTTGTCCTACAAAAATCAAGAACCTGTCATCAATAATACACTTAAGCCTCTTGGCATACAGGCATATTTGGAATATTAAAGCAATAGCAACCAAAGATGGAAGCAGCCACAAACGACCAGCATTTTTGGAAAGTGCACTCTTGTGGCAAATGATTGCTGATGTAAATTATTGCGCATAGTATGCATGATTCATGATACACATTGACACAATTTGAAATTTTGGCTTTCCAATTCACAAAACAAATCATGATTCGACAACCACATACGGAAAATGCTGTAGGCAGATAAGCTCTCTATCAATTGATAACATAAAAATATGAAAGAGTCAATGATGTCACCATAAAAGAATTGGTAAATGAGAAATTAACCTTTGAGAAACCAATGCAAATAAATAATATAATAAGAAAGTATCTACGAGAATGAGATATAAGATATATAGGAAAGAGTAGGAATAATCATACCTTATGAGTTAAGACTTATGAGTCATCGCCTAGATATACTTTTACAGCAACGAAACTCAGCTAAGAGAGCTGTATGATCTGAGGACCATTCAGGAGAAGGTAGTGCTGTGTCTTTCCTCAAACTCTCTTCATCCAATAGCTCTAATAATGACTCCACAACTAATGAATCAGCTGAAACGACAGACAATTCACTACGTAAAAAGGAAAACAGGATGTGAAGTAATCAAATGCGATGACACTGCAAGATAGCTCACCTGTGTAAAATATATAATCAAGAGAGCCAATAAAATCCCTAGTGACCTTCGTAAATAAAGGTTCATTTGTTGAGCTGTCCAATCTTCGCTTATGCTGTTCATATCCCAGGCCAACCGTTCTTGCAAAAGAAGAGTAAGCACTGACCTGAAATTGTATGTACCCCCCCATAACCAATAAAATTAAAATCAGGACAAAAAATGAAGGATGAAAAACACAGTTACAATAGGAGACCTGGAGAAAGTACATAATATAAGATAAATATTCCTTTAAGTATTTCTATACATTACCAGTGGCAACTGGTGAACCAATTTGCTGTGAGGACGCAATATGTTGAGTGGGTCAACTGCTAAATCAGGGTGGGATGGGTCTACCTTCCCCATCGCAAGAAGTGCATGAGGAGCACTACAACAGAGTCAGAACATAACCTTTAAAAACATATTTCTGATAAAAAAACTATTGCAGAACATGAATGCCAAAAAAGAGAAGTAATCAAACCTTCCTGGAACTGAATTGAAATCACCACAAACCAGCATTGGAATGTCTGCACTTATAGCAATTTTCTCCAATCCTTTTAAGAGTGTGTGCACCTAAAAAGAGTAGTAATTTTATAAATGTCGAGCTCAAAATAAACACGCTTGTCAGTAAGAATAAGTAAAAGAAATAACTTACCTGCCAGAGCTTAACATCCTTTAATTCTTGGTGGACATTTACATGTGTATTTGCCTAAAGTCCACAAGTAACATGAGAGTTAGTAATAGATATTTATATAAGCAAAAAAAAAGTAGTGATTCAACACATAATCCATTATACAACTACAAATAGGTAAATGAAAAAAAAATGCAAGAATCGTAAATATAAAATACAGATTGTGGGCCTTGAAGGCATGAGTAGACATGACATGACTACCTAAGAGTACCATAACTAATAAAAGCAAGAGCTTATCAACAAAAAACTTAAGATAAAAGGCTATACCACACACAGAAGCTGTCTTTTCCCTGGATTATCAACAGGCTGGTTGTTAACTTTAGCTTCTAAAACAACTATTAGTGCAACATTATCCTAAAAACATACAGAAAACTTTGTCAGTGAAGGTTCCAAGACACAATTTCTCTCAGAAAACATAATTGCGGTCTTTGCAATAAACCACCTTAACAAGCCGGTTCAACGCCGTTTTCTTTTGAGTGGTTGGAATCATGGCATCCGTTAAAGACTGTGCAGCCTTATTAAACTCAACCTGCAAGCGAGCAAACAATAATTATATGTTGAGTACATACTTAAAGGTATTGACTGTCGTGCACATAAAAGCAAACTCCAACCTCGTATTTCTTCACATGTGAGAATCTGTCTCTACGGAAAAATGTTGCGCAACCATCAATTGTATTTATGTTGCCATTATATACCTGAGTGTGAATCCGCCATAAACACGTTGAAATAATAAAGTTTGATAGATATAAGTTTTTAAAACCATAAGAAATCAGGATAATGTAACAACCTCATTTGTTTTTTTCTTGTAAAGACCGTAATAGCCATGTTTGTCCAGTTCGGGAGCAAAAAATTCATCGTAATGATCACTTTGGACCTGGGAGCAAACAGAATGCATATTAGCTGATAGAAAACCTATTAGAATATAAGATGCAATCATACAATTATGAAGAACTGAGTTAGGTTAAAGAGTAAGAAACATTATGTCACAAAATCGCTAAGTGTATGTTTGGTTTAGATTTTGGAAGAGCCAAAAGCAATTCTAGAGGTGTAGAATTGACTCTGGAATAGTGTTATCAAATTGCCCCGCCATGGCCGCTATGGCGAATTTACATGGCGGTTTTTGGGCTCGCCGCAATGGTAAACATTGGCCGCTATTGCGGGTTTTTTCGCCATAATCCACAATAACGGCGCCGCAAAGCGGCCAGTATGGCAGGATTTTGCCCCTCCGCCATCGATAACACTGCTCTGGAATGATTTTGAAGTGTTAGGTTATTCTAAAGTAGAATTAATTTTGCCTCTAGAATTGATTCTACTTGAGGCTACAATTTGTAGCTTTTGAGTTTAAACGTATTTTTACACTGAAATTTGTTGTTCAACTGACTTTTACATAAATGTATCCAAACATAAATCACTTTACATTCAACTCACATTTAATCAGAATCAATTCTATAAAATTAATTCGTTCAGAATCAATTCTCCTCACCGTAGAACCAAAAGAAATACACCCGTTTAAACGCATAGAAATGAAGGCCGGGTTTATATAAGTTCATCAACAACTGATGCAAATTTAAGTTTGAAAGGAAAAACAAATAGGACAGGCTACAAAATATCAGTTTAATAAAGCTTCTGCAATCCAAAAAATTTCCTAGGGAACAATGAAGCTGCGGCATTTTTTTATTCAATATCAATCCAAAAATATCTTTAAGATAAGTTGAATATCAGCATATTAATAAAATGAAGCTTTTTAACAACCACAGCCACAGCCAATAAACAATCACATACCTCTTGGAGACAAATAATATCAGCACGGTAACCAACTATTTCTCGTAACAAATTTTGTCTGCGATACGGCCAGGAAAGAGCCCACGAAGGGCAGTAACTGTATAGATCATTTGAGGCATATGAATCAGACAATATGTTGTATGATAAAACAGTAAAAGTTCCTGATGATGTTATACGCCCATCCATATCCAAACTCCCCATCCCGTCAACAGGTACCAACTGGCGCGGGATAGGTGAGGGAGCAGGAATAACCCGGGAAGTTAGAATAGTGTTTGTATGCCCCACAGTAAGTTTTGTCTCTGCGTCAACTACAACACACTCAAATTTAAGAACATGACCGATGTCATCAGCTGATGGGGTATATGTCTTTGATCGTCCAACTTCAAACCAAGTTTCACCACCATTTCGTTGTGTAACAGTTGCGGGATACACAGTTGCAGACCCATTTGACAGGTTAGCACTAGATGCAGTGGAGGATAAGCTGGTATTGATTGACCCAGGCCCAGAATTGTTAAATCTCCCAAATACTTCCTCCTCCTCATTTCCATTTTCATTAACTGCACTTGCAGCACGGTCATGTAATGCTCGGTGGTGCTGCCATGCATCTGAGAAACACTTTGGAGAGCAATGGTAGCTTTTGGAAACGGGTATTTTACCCTTAAGACAACCTAGGCACTGCAGTGTGGCCTGCTCGGATGGATGTACGCTACAAACAGCAACCTTTTTATCATTCTGTACACGATACCTGCCAGAGAGGAGAATGTCAAATAGGATAAAAAATTAAACTTTCAAATCAGATCAACAGGTATTTAGGATCAAGGTGGTATTTAAACCAATAAAAATAATTGCAAGCAATTATTTAAGTAACGAACTTTATGCACTAATTAAATTTATTGCATTATAACAAAGCGGTTGGGCTCGAATGATTAATGAACTTCAGTTAAGGATGGAATGTTTGGGAGACCTCAAATTTGAATCCTGAACAGATAATAATCCTTGGTCAGGCTTTAATTACCACCCAGCCGAACTCCAGTATACCAGAGGCTCTTTCCCATAGAGACCGGAGGGGTTAAAGACCAACAACAAAAAATCTTGCAACAAAAGTCCAAATTTAGGTCCACAATGCCATAATATTCAATAGATCTATTAATGTCCAAATGTCAAAATATTCAATAGATCTACACCCATATAGATTTTGCTGTATAACTGGACTAAATGCTTTATATTGTGTTTATTTACCAACACAAGACAGCAATTACAATGATAAACTATACCTAACGGAAAATGTAGGATCCATTTCAACCTTTTAAGGTGTTGATGGAGCTTATATGTTATATTTTCTATTTAAATAACAAGCATAGAAACTTTAAAAGAACTAATAACCTACCGCACTTGTGCAAACTATAATTAAAATACCAATCTCCACAATGCTTATCTATGCCAAGAACTTGCAGGCCAAGATAATAAACAAACTAAGCTTATTTGAACAAATACATTCCTTCATCTAAATCTTTACTTTTTTGGAGACCTGTGCATAATAAAGTCCCTTATGAGGAGAACTAGTCTGGCCGGAGTGGCCGGCTTGTTTCTCAATGTAATCTTTGTGCTACTAATGTAGAAACAACTTGCATTTATTTTGGGAATGCAACTTCACAAAAACATTGTGGAATTGGTTTGAATCTACTGTCCAGACCCATGTTGATACAAGCTCTATCAGCTTAATTTTGGAGATATGCAACGAAACTTGATCGTCTCAATGCAAGGAGGTAACTTTGGCTACTATCATTAACACTGTTTGTGTTGTTCGTTAACAGTTTTGACAAAATTATTTCTTGGAAATTTGCTGCTAATATTGTTACCTCTTGTGTTTCCAAAATTTGCAATTGTGCAAATAATGCTGCTACTACTTACTCCTCAATTTTGAATTTCCAAATCCTTAAAGCTTAGTTGTCAACACATTCCTCAAAAGCTCCTATCACAAAAGCGGTCTTTAGACATCCTCCTATTGTTTCTGGATTAAATGTAATATATATGGGGTTGCAAGGGGCTCCCCTGGTCATGCTGCCTGTGTGGTAATAGAGCAGCAGTTAAGGATTGTTTTGCTGTCAATATTGGTATCTCTACTTATATTCATGCTGAATTAATTGGAGCTATGGTTGATATTTATTAGAAAGTGAAGAGAGAGACTTTTCATGACTGTAACTAACTTTGTTTCTGTTATTGATTGAATGAATTAGTTACACTAGGATTTCCTTTTTATACAACACTGATTCTGACCTGCCCTAGCAGGTTGTAACTAACACTCTGACCTGCCCTAGCAGGTTTTACAAGAACAGAATAACCTGCAGTAGCAGGTTCTAAACTAACTGTAAACCTGTAGTAACAGGTTACACTAACTACACAGACTAACACTTGTCAGTTCTGAGTTTTACAATGCTGCTAATGCTGCTATACTCTAATAATATTAAAACTGCTATCAAGAAGGGTTTGTTTTCTCCTTGATAAAAAATAGAATCTCAACTTGTCAAATTGACTTTCAACTCTCCGATTATTGTCCCTTGGATTTTAAGAAATAGATGGTTGGGTAGTATTGAGCTCATGATGAGTATGTCTTCCTTAGTTTCTTGCATTTATCATAAAGGAAATAATAGTGTTGATAAAATTGCCAACATGAGTTTGCCATTATCTGGGTGTTTTGATGGGATACTATCCCTCCTGGTATTTCTAAAGATTTTAATCGTAATAGGTTAGATCTCCCTGAATGTAGATTTTGTTAGTTACAAGTTTGATTTTCACTCTGGTTATTTCATTGCACTGTACTTCTTTTGTATTTTATTTTGTACTTTTTTCTCTTCACCGTGGTTTTATTCTATTGAGTTGTCCTTAGTAACATTTTTAATGAGACATATGTTCTTTGCTTACTTGATTGTTACCTTAGTTTTTGGCCTATTCCCCAGACTCTATTATTTTAATATATGTAGTTGGGTGCTACAAATGACAAGGGATTGTTTGTAGGTACCAATATATTCAATACTGCAGTAGCCACATGAGATTATTTGAATAATCACACAAATTAACAGCGACGACACAAAATAGTTTACAAAGAAAAGTAAAGTACAAGGTAAGGAAATATAGATTACACTGGCAATAGTACTACATCAACCAAATTACTGACGAGAAATGGAGCAAAAAATAAAAATAACCAAACAATAAGCAAACATACTGGACAACAACATTATGCTTACATCCAACAGAAAACTAAAATATAATAATTACATATGCAAAAACTCAATTCATACTACTGGCAAATAAAATAAGACGAACAAAAAATAAGTTGCATACTACAAAAGTAATAACAGACTAACATAACTCACATCTACCCACACATTGAAGCTCAAGTTTTCAAAATTTAATGTCTCCAATAAACAAATTTGACAAAAGCAAAATCGCATAAATTAAGGGCACGTTTGGTTTGATTTATTTGAGCTTATCTTCTCACATAAACATAAAAATATAGTTTGACTTTACTTCATTTAGTTATCGAAATTCGAAATAGCTTATGCATATACAATTCAGTTGATAATTTAAACACAGCCTAAGAGAAAAATGAATTAAAAAGCACTCACCACTTATATCGCAAAAAATGCCCATCTAAGGGTGCGGTTTCAAGTACATCGTCAGTCGTAACGGTTTTGTCAGGCCGACGTAGGAGCACATAAGGCGTGAGCTCACAGCCTACAATGGGAATATCAGAAGGAAGGTGCACACGTAGCACGTTCAGCATTATTCACTTTTCGCAATCGTCACTGTCCTGCAACCAAATCAACAATCGAACACCAGAATCAATGGCTCCAGTAACTGTTAAAGCAACACCGTGATTGAAGAAATTATGATGGCGGATACCAGACGGATCCGCCATTTACTTGACCCGAACACTCGCCAGCCTTGAATGACCTGAATCCAAACCCTAATCAGAAAAATGAAAACGAAATCGAAACTATCCGGTGGATCTTGTTGAGGATTTTAGAGATTTTCGTTGTGTGGCGGAGAAAGAAATTCGAACGATGAATCAGAGTGAGACTGTGGAAGGGATCGAAACTTGTAGTGTTTAGAGAGAGAAAATTGGGTCGTAGAGAGAGATAAAAAAGGATCGAAATTAGGGTTTCGCAGATGAATTGGACGAAATTGAATATTTCTCTATAAGAAAAAGAAGAGAAAAATAGTTGTGGCTATTACTATTTCAATTTTGTTTATATATATCTATAATTGGGGATATAATAATTTATTTATTAATTAAAGAATAATTATTAAGACTATTTTATTCGGTCACTGTATCTTTAAATAAAAATTTGACAGCAATGATTTAGTCAGTGTAAAACTTTTTTTCAGTGTATTATTTATTTTATTTTATTTATTATTATTTATTTTATTTATAAATGTTTTTAATTTAATTTCTTCCTCTTAATTTAATTTAGAATTAATAAAATTGTTATTTTTCTTTTATTATCTTGAATAAACATGGTAATTGCTTGTGATGGTATATTTTGAGGGTGTCTGAAAATAGAATAGTTATAGTTTTGTCGATTACTTTACTACCTAGTATTGTTTGTGCTGTGTGGGGACAAATGCTCAATATTTTATCCTGTGCATATAGGTGTGACAGGAGTGTTTGCAGGATCGGTTCTTTCTTTTATTTTATTACATATTATTTTGATTAATTAATTAAGTCTTTGAACTTGAACTCAATTATAGTTCTAAAATATTGCAGGTAAGATAATATAACACTAAACAAAATATTTGATCTCTAGTGGTAAATGAATTTTTACTAAAGAAGTAAAAGAATAATTTCCGACAATTTTAAACTCTATTTTGTTAGATAAAAAAGAAAACATGTTCTAATAAAGGTACTTTTATATCTAAAAGTGTTGAAGAGATATAAAATCGCTGCCCCTGTACTATTAAGTAAGATTTTATATGACTTTTTTTTACGAAGATTTTGTATGATTAATAGTAAGAATACCCGCATAAAAAATTCACATAAATGTTATGATTGTGATGGATAGAAATGTCACCATTTTTTACCGATTTGTTTTGAATTAACTAATATTTTCTTTGCCACCAATTGAACTACCTAAAAGAAAGGAAAATATATATTGTAATTTGTTAGAAACTCATTAATAGTCTATTTCTCATTTACCTAGACTATTTCAAAGAATTTAAAATATTTTAGCTAAGTCTCTTATTTTTCTTCTTTTTTATTTAGTTATTTGATGAGATAGATCTATTTGTTTAGTTTGGTGATCAATTAGAAATTGTTTCGAGTTTCGAGCTTGAAGTGTTTATATTTTTTTGTAAATTTTGTTTTGATAATAAGAGATCCGTATTTGGCTTTGATATTATTATCTCTAAACTCATATCTCAAGAATTACTATATGAGAATATTGTATAGGCCTTGTGATACTATTTCGTGTAATTTCCCTTTAGATTTGAAACATTGTTTACCGAAAATATAAAGATACAAAGAGCTTTTAGTTGAATTTTGATGATAACAAAGTATTTAAAGAACAATTGGGTACTCTAACATTTATTCAAGTATGCAAGATTATAAAACTAAGAATATATGATGAGTAACTTAAGAATTCTGAATCTAGAGTTCAAACTCTGGCTCTAAAGATCACTTCTAAAGAGTCTGGCTCTAATGAAGATTCAGGTTTTGTAGAAGCCAACTCTGAAAAAAGTCAGCCTCTGGTGACCGAGACTCTGAAGATAGTCAACCTCTAAAGCATGGTATCTTCAATTGAGGTAACTCTGACAGACTCAAAGACTTTTTGCTCACATGAAGACTTAAGAAAAAATCTTTTCTTTGTTATCTAAGCTTCAACAGATAATTCATTTTGTAGAAAGGTGTTTTTTTATGTGTCGAATTAAGTACAAAGCCAGCCCACATTTTGGTGAAAGTATTTAACGTCTCTCTTCTTCCACTCTATTTAAGGAGCAAAAGTTCTGAAGAAGAAGACAACCACACTACAATATAAACATTGCATAACAAGACTCGGAACCTTGGCATTTTAAAGAAATGGCACTTTATCAAATTTACTAGACTCATAACATCTTAACATTGTGCATATTTTAAAGGTTCTTAAGTCTTTGAGTCTTTATAAGTTGTATTTTGTCTACACCTCTGATTGTATATCAAATGTAGTTGTTACCAAAATCTCCTAATAGTTTGTTAAAAGTTAGAAGTCTATTGCATTAGTACTTAAGCATTTGAAGTCTCTTGCCTGTGTGTTTGAGCATATAAGTCTCTTACTTGAGGATTTGAGTATTGAAAATCTCTTGCCTGTGTGCTTGAGCATATAAAATCTTACTTGTGGGTTTGATTATTGGAAGTCTCTTACTTGGTGTTTGAGCATTTGTAATCATTTGGTTATAGTGGAAATCCATTGGAATTACAAGGGGGACTGGACTACTCTTATATTGTGAGATGAACCAGGATAATTGTTTGTGTCTCTTACTTTACTTTACCTGCTTCTAAACTATTCTACTGTTATCGTTTATTTACCTCTAAGTTAGATGTTGTTTCAAAATCTGATAAGGATATTCGAGAGTTCAGACTCTGAACTGAGTGTTCAGAATCTGGTTAAGATCAATCGAAAGAAGAAAAAGAAAAAAATTTGAGAAAAATGACACAATTCACCCCCCTCCCTCTTGTGTTTTTCTCACTTTCACTTCGCTCGCTGGAGAAATAAATTTTGCTAAGAAATATGTTAATACTCGAGACTTTATGTTGTCTCTAGATACAGAATGGATGTCGTATTCAGATAGTTCGGCCGACCATGGTACCATCTTCCCACCAAGTCAGACTTTTATAGAACCTGACAGATTAGACCATTCATTTTTACCATCATGCGGTAGCTCTGGAAGTAGATATCAGTTTCCTCGTCATTATCATGATCGATGATGATAACATCTATATCTTCTGATACCTCAACTCTGCGCCTTTAACACTTTGCTGATAAAAAAGACTAATTATTCGGTCTTATCTTTTTCTTGTACGAATATGAAACCCATCTTTGTGTCTGCTACTAATGAATATAAGTATAAAAACATGCATTCTTCTATATGTGGTAATATAGGTTTGGTTTCCAAGAAAGTCTTTAACCTTGCAAATTTATCCTCACATTTGCTTGTCCATTCAAACTTTCCCTTCTTTTTCAGGGTGACGAATAAGTGAAAAGCTTTGTCCCATGCACATGTATGAAATTTGGATATGGGGCTAAGTGTTTTGTCATATGTTGAACCTCCTTAACTATGGTGGGGCATTTATGTCAATGATAGCTTGGCATTTGTCGAAATTTTCCTTTATCATTATTCCAATTAATATGAAATCCAATTATTTTCCTACCTGAACCCCAAGGAACATTTGAATGAGTTTAGGTGCATATTATATTATCTAAACGACTTTAGAATGTCCTCTAGATCACCATGATAGTTTCCTTTCTCAGGGGTTTTTATTATTATGTCATCAATGTAAACTTTTATAGTACATGTTGTTTGAGCAGAGAATACGACATTCATCAACCTTTGGCATGTGTATAATAATTGGACATGAATGATGTCTTACGCATATACAAGGGTTCATTTTTATTAAGTTATAGTCAAAATAAGAGTCCGTGAAGCTCAGAGTCTTGTACCTTGACGATATGCAATCAACCTGTCAATATTTGGCAACAAGTAAGGGTCTTTAAGACACACTAGGTTTAGATCAATGAAATTTGTGCACATTCATTAATTTTGGGATGACTTCCAAACTAACACCACATTTGAAGGTTGATAGTCTGAGTTGCACCAAAGAGGGGGGGTGAATTAGGTTCTTTAAAATTTTCTGGTTTTATCGACTGAGTTGTTACTTTCTTGAGATGTGATGAGGTTATGAAAGCGGTAAAGAGCAGAAAGTAAATAACACAGAGAAGTATCCTGGTTCCCTTCACACTCCGAAGGTACTCCAGTCCCCTTTCAACACGAAAGAGATTTCACTATAGTTAGGATCGGTGTACAATACTTTCTAACCTATAGGTAGATCAAAGGCTCTTAAAACACCTTTAAGATCTAAACACTAAGTGCAAGAAGAACAGTCCTCTTCAATGCACACAATTGCTTTCAACAATCCTGAACAGCAAGGGGAAATAAGTTCAATCTGAATTTTTACAATGAGTTTGTAACAGTTGTTGCACCCCAAAATTTGCCCTCACAATACAAGACTTTGTGTTCCAAGAAGGTTCACAAGGTTCACAAAATTCATAATTGGTCAGAAGAGTTGACAATTCCCTCAGACAATGCACCTCCTAAGCAGTGCATCCAAAACTAGGGTTTTGACTTTAATCAGGCTAAATGGACTTCCAAGACTTCAAGTGAGCTTCATAACATCTTATATGTGTATAAGAACCCCCATGTCAAGTTTCAAGACTTTTCTCAAAAGTTTGCTCAGTCAGATGATCAGATAAGTCAAAAGCAGTCAATGCAGTTAAAAGGTCAAACTGAGGTCAACTGTGGTCAAACCAAAGTCAAACTTCATGATTTTTTTTTGCCAACATCAAAGAGAGGTTGGGTGAGAAATATTATCATAATAACTGTAATACCCCAAATTTTGCCCTAAGATTTGTCGTCGCATTTCATTGCATTTAATCAATTACTAACAAATTTGTGTAGTCGTTTGACTTTTTGCAGGTAAATATCATATGGCATGCATTTTTTTCTAAAAAAGTAAAAATGGCACAATTGGCA